CCCACGGCTGAAAGGGCGAGCATGTTTGGTGGGACGAGGATTCGAACCCGTGACCTTCAGATTGCGAGTCGAGCGCCCTAACCACCTATCCATGAAACCAAATAGAGCAAGCTAATTTCAAATATCAACCTTGTATTAAATATTTAGGTTATATCGGTTTTAATAAACATTTCATGATCATTAATCTACAGCTAACTTTACGCAAAAATCACTTATAATCTGTAAATATCCAAAACAGAAAAAAAAAAGCTTAGTCTAAGCAAATCACATTCTTAAAATATATGGAATAAAAACAAGAACAGTTACTTTTGTGTTCTCATTTCTTTTAAATGTATAATAATAGATCTGCATGACGAAAAAAATAACGAAATTAAAACAATATTATATTTCTATAAATGTTATGTTTTTATATTGCACTGAAATCTAACTCTATAAGTTTTATAACCATGTACAATTTTTGTAAGCTTAATACACATGCGGTTTTCAGTATCCATCTGTTATTCATCAAATGTGCACTTTGTGTTAAAATCTAATAATTTAATGTATGATAACTGATTTTTAGTTTAGTGTGTTTGTTAATTGATTCAAACTTCATTAAAAATCCCAAGTTCTGATTCAATTTACGAAACTTGTGTTGTTATATCATATTATTTTTTTGCACAAAATATTTTCTATGTGATAAAGGCATGTATTTACTAAAAACTTAGAAACTAAACTTAGTTTAACTCATGACCAATGGCTCAATCTGCGGGTCGTGGGGGAGAGGGGGGACCCCACTATTCGCAGATAAAGGTTAGCCCAAGAACTGGTGGTTGATGGCGTTAATTAGCTGCCTTCCCTCTAGTCTATTATCTCAAAACTAGGGACAACAATTAAACAAATACAGTCAGGTTAATTTGAGATGAAACATGTGAATAAATGGAACTTTTAACTCGCACAGAAATTGAAACAGTTGTTCAACCTATAAATGTATTAGTTTTAGTTTCACATAGAAAGATGGGCATCCACAGAAATATTTTCGGGGGGGGGGAGCAAAACATGTATGTAGGGGATCAGCTTTTACAGTGTAAGTCAATAGACAAAAATAATATATGTTATGTATGCTAAAACGCAAACAGAAATTTACAGTTTTAATAAAAATGACTCAAAATATTTAGTTTAGTTACAATGTTAATTTTACATCACAATACGTGCAATTTTTTTAAAGAGGAAACTGTCCATCCTGCCCTTTCCTGCGGGCGCCCATGCATAGAAACAGCAACAAATATGAATATAAATAATAGACGATGATGATTTTAAGGTGTAGTGAACTCAATGTCAGATTTATAAAGCACCCAAATGGTTTATTTATTGTTAAGCACAAAGCTACAAAATGAGCTATCTGTGCTATACTCACCACGAGTATTGAAACCCGGTTTTTAGCAGTGTGAGTCCTCAGATTTATCGCTCCCAAAAGGTGATTATATTAAGGTGTGTGGGTTATCCTCATAAATTATCCATTTAAATCGGTATTACATCAAGGATTTTAGAAATATCATTTCCAGAAACACAATTGTAAGAAAATTTACAAAATGGTGCAGCATTATCAGTGAATTATTTCGATATACTTAGGTAATCTCATGCAAATCGTAGTATCAGTATAAAAACCGTTATTGAAAGAGATATCTCACAAAAATATATATTGTATTGTTAAAACAATATACATATTAAAAAAAAAATTGTGTATATGTAACTACTAACTTCTCCTTCATGCTAAATGGCAGTGATGAAGGTATCTAGTTCAACTAAATCAGATCAGGGAATTTGGGGGCATATCACCTGCTGATGGCGCCCCCATAACTCGCAAAAAAATATATATACATATTTTTGGATATATTTTTAAAGCAGATCCTTGTTTCACTCCACAGAAAACACAAATTTGTTAATGTGGCTTTACTCCTTTCCCACTACCCCCTCCCCCTCCACAAGGGTTGGACTCTTAAAATGTTCAATGGAGACTTTGCCAGGAGGTGGCAATGTATTTGTGCAGCAGTTCAGCATTAAGGACTGGATCCACCCGTATGTTATAACCTTTAAGTTTGTCCAGAAAATTGCACGCGTAATTTTTATTTGTTTGTTTTTGAGCGAAGCCACACTAGGCTATCTGCTGTGTCCACCGCGAGGATTGGAGTCCCGGGCTTTAGTGTTGTAAGTCCATAGATTTACCGCTGTCCCACTGAGAGATTGCGCGTTCAATATCTTGCATATCAGGATATATCTGACCCCGGTTTAAAAACATTCAGAACTTTGTGCATATTTTGGATCAAAACCTTGCTTCCTGATTACGTATTTAATATTTTTAATGACAGTACGGTATTTTGAATTTTATTTATTTACCAGTTATTTGATTTAGCCTTGAAGTTGAAATATAGGAGGTATTATTTTATAATATATCTCATTCTATAACGCTTCCATATCAGTTCATTTGTAAACTAAAAAACATCTGCACAGATTATTTGTTTGCTTAACGCGATATAACTCGTTCAATGTCATAATTCGTTATTTAAAGGTGCTTTATCAGCTGTGTTTTATAATTATATATTGTATATCCAAATAAAAATTTGACAAGATCTTTAATGAAAACATTGCATATTTATATCGATGGCCCTCTTATGTTTGCAACTAAAACTAATAAAACAGCCACGTGGTGGTATTTGAGAGAAGTTGTTTGATGACATGCTTAAGCAGTGCTGCACGAGTTGAATCAACATATACTACTGTAATACAAAAAGTAGATGAATTACATCTTACACTAGTATTTTGAAAATACATAATTTTCTTCTGCAAATTTAAAATATGTCGTCGACAGAAGAAAACCAGGAACTTAAGGCTGGTCATCCTCCAGCAGGTAGGATACATAATTTCTGAATTCAAATTAAAAAGTATCCTAAAAGTTGGATCTTATTTTCATTAAAATCAACAAATTTAGGTGTATGGACGGATACAATAGCTACACGGTAAATTAACAATATGTTTCTGCATTTACTTAGTGATGAGGATCGTCTGCCCCAAAAAAGTTGACTTTTTTTTCAGGTTTGATGAGCCCACTTTCCTTCATTCCAAGTGTCATCTAGTTTTTATTTGTGGTTATTGTATTTTTCAGATTTTATAATTGAATACAGTAAGATTTAACATTAAAATAGGCCATTCCACAAAGAGATGATTTCATGCAAGCCTGTGAATTATAAAAGTTTATGTTCATAAGTGTATTGTTGCTTTTAATCTGTAATGTTATTAATTGTTTATTTAACTTTAAAGAATGATGTCAAGCAATATGTTTTCATAACATCTCTCTCATGGGGTTTCACATCAAAAAGTTTTTAAAGACCGAAATTAAAGGAAATACCAAGGACAGGTATTTGCTTTTACTATTTCAGTTTGTTGATATTAAATTAATGGGTTTTCAATTTGTATTAAAGAAGCTCCAATTTTCATGATGCAAAAAAAATTGCAATTATGTGGAAGTTCAGTACAGAAAAAGGGTTTTTTTTGGAGGGGTTGTAGTAGAAAATAGGTCAGTCTAGATGGACCAAATGGCCTTATACCTACCAAGTACTGCTTGTTGAAAGTTACTTTCCTACTAATATACTATATGTTTTTGTTACAACACTGACTATTGTTGAAATAATTATTCATAAAATTATAAACATTTAAAAAAAAATGTTGTTTATCACGATATTAAGAAATATATATAAAAAATGATTTATTAAAGGTTGGGCATAACTTCAGGTGAGGATTTTTTGGAAGTAAATTTTCAAACACCACTGTCACAACAATATATTGATCACTTCTCCCTTGATATACCAGGTATCATTTGGTTATCTTTATTGACTTTATTGTATGTACATGTACAGTGGTGTAGTTAAAAAAAATGAAAAAAAATTGTGTTTTTAATTTATATTCTTCATTTTAAGTAAAAGTGGGAGGAATGCGCATTACTCAACACAAACCTTCAATTCATGAGAAGCTTGCAGAACCTCCAAAGAAGGAAGAGGAGGAGGAGGAGGAAGAAGAAGAGGCTCAAGTAAGCAAAAGGTAAATAAACTCTTCTAACTTTAAACAATCATAGGTGCAACAGGTACCAAAAGCTTATGAACTTGAAATATGAGGGTTTTGGTAAGTCATCTTACCATATAGTCTAGATTAAAATTTTGTCTTTACGTTTTTGAAAATTTAAGTACAATTTCATGATTTTAGAAACTGTGTATCCAATCATTTGAAGTACATAATTTACTGAGAACAGTTTCTTTGTAATACATATAAGTATCGAAGTTTTCATTATAAATGTATCGGTTTAACTATATCAGCATTTCCTAAACTTTTTTGGCCATGGAACACTTTTCAGCTGAGAAAAGGCTTATGGAACACTAGATATATGAAATATTGGTGTAGAGGGTATGTTGCATGTGCAGCACCCTCTATATTTGTATGTTATTCATTTATTTATTTAATCAGATTACATATTATTGAATTTTTACATTTTTATGCTTATAATATATTTTAGGTACAAACCTCTCCACTAAGATATTATGTAGAATAGATATGGCATCTTCTATAATTCTTCTTCAATGTGAAATCATTATTATCTAATTCTAATACATAGGAAAATATTTCCTAATAAGTTATGATCGTACAAAAAGTTTTAAATATTTTATTAAAATTTAAAATCATGATTTTCTCATGGAGCACCTATCAATCTCGGACGGAACACCAGTATTCTACGGAACAAAGTTTGAGAAATGCTGAACTATATAAATATCTTCTTTTTTTTAGCAAAAGTAAGTAATTGCTTTACACACACACACACACACACACACACACACACATCTCAACGAGATATGATTGTCTTCTGTGAAGCTTATAATTCCTGAATAATCTTGAAATTTTTCTTTTTAAAATCAAGTTTTATATACAGAATTTACTATTTTTTACTTTACTCAATAAATATCTGTCTTTATAATACATTTTCTTAAAAATTTTTGTTTTAGAGATAAAAACTAATCTCAAGAAGGATTCAAACTAGTGTATACAATTGTAGGCAGGTTTATATATTGTTCTAATAATCCATTATGATTATTAAGTAACAATGAAACTTTTTTTTAACGGGTGTCCAATATCACTATGTTGTTCTCTATATATATTTCACTTAGTTATTTTCATTGATGAATTATTTGATAAAACTGCAATTTGTTTTTGTAGAATCAGTTACAAAATGAGGCTTTAGCAGTTTTTTTACACCTTATGGTTATTTGTTTGAATGTGTATAAACCTACAAAATCATGGAGGAACAAATTTATAATTCTTCATATGAAGAAAACATTTATTGAATGTTACAATTACACCTTTAGATAAAACAAGTCATTCTGTATGAGCATTATTAATTGTTTTAGTTTTTTATTATTTTTTGTTTGAAGTTTATGCGTACTGTTGATCACACTTAACAGTTTAAGAAAAAATGTAAGTAAGTTTGACAGCTGGTTGTTTGGAAGTATTGTTTAAATTTTTTCCCTTTTTTTACAATGGAATTTAACTCTTGCTTTTTCTCATAATTTTTCAGTCCACCAAAGCAACAGTTGATGATATCTGGAGCTCTTGCTCGGGTAAGTTTCAGCATTTTCTTGTAGCATCAACACTTTTCAAATCAAAAATAATAAGTAAAAATAAGCAAACTACAATGACTTCAAAAATATAAATAGTTACATACTTTGAAGGTTTTTCACACATCTGTTTACATTAAATTGTTTTTTTTATCATGTTATGTTTGTTTTATTTTAGTCATTGCATTTTTTTACATTATATATTAAAAAAGTATATATATTCCAAATATTAAAGATTCAAATTTTGTTTCCTTATTTGTTCACTCTTTGTACTGTTGCTTAACATGCAAAACTAACATACCTCG